TTTCTATAAAACATAAATAGATGCATGCAATTCCGTTAAATGGAGGTTGAATTCAGGATAATATTTAGACAATACTGTTGCGTTTGATCGAGTGTCGCGGACCGTGGATGAAAGTAAATCGGGATCGTATCGTCGTAAATACACGCGACGCTCGTGATAGATCTCCCCGGGCGTCTTTCGCCCAAGTAATTGTGGTTTCACGACACGCCACGCGGTCCCGATTTTTGCGGTAGATCGGTGTGAAACGGCGAAACCGTACGGCGAATGTGTCCGGGTCGGCGTGCACCGCTTAACGCCGATCAGATAAGAAAACGGCCGGTCGAAATCTGCCACGGGTCAAAGCACCTTGCACTTCCGAGGGGTTAATTACATTCTTGCAGAGTCCGCACGAACGAGTGAAACCGCATTTGCTTCCTCGATTGCACTTTAGCAGACCACAGTGCAATAAACGGTAGCGTTGCGGCGAACACGCCACCGGAGACCTCTAAAGCGCCTTACAATCTTTTCGCGTGCGTACGTTCTGGGAAAATTCTTATAGTCTTTGCCGGGATGAAAAGGCCGCTGATATATCGACGTACTGTTACCCAAGACCGTCCAACGACTTCCTGGCCGATTCCACAGGGTGAACGAACACTCCGCCAACAAAGGTGGCTCGATTTTGACCCGTATTCTGCCTTCACAATAACATCAGACGTACGTAGATTGTTTGTATTGGGCTCAGCCGAAAAGTAACTGGGGATTTCTGCCCAAATAGTTGGCAATACATCTCTTGCAACGTAACTAACTCCACGTTATGGTTCGAGTTTGTTTTAGAAAAAAACGTACACGTTTTCTCTTTAAATTATTTATTTGGAGGTGATTTTAAGGTGGAAAATATTACATATGCCTTAAAATTACGACCTATGAGTAATATTGGAGCTTCTAATTTCTGGGCATCATATTAAATCCTGAAAATTGCAAAGTATTTTTCAAGAAATTCCAATTTTCTTAATCTGACGGAAAGCAATGATTTTGTTTATATAATTAATACTTTTGTTGTAATTGCTGTAATTTGAGACGAAGGTAAAAGCAAGTATCTTCAGAAAATTTAAACCAAAGAATTTACCAAGGAATGATTGTCTCAAACCAGAGATCTACTTTTTGGAGTACTCTGACTTTCAGTTTTGGAGTACACTTTAAAATCGAACGTCCCATTTCGAGACAAGGATATCGAGTATGTTTAAAGCAGATAACTAAGAGCCAGAGGAATCCACGACAGATTGGTACCCTTATTAAATAAATAATTTTCATAATTGATATACCAAACACCTTATGGATTCTTCGTAAAAAGTTATCACAAATGGTTATTATGCAATCAATCGTCGTCTCTGACCCCATACTCAAATTGTTCTCTCTGCCGATGCAATTATTACAAATGTGTCTAAACGATAAGTGTTCCAGCATATATACAAGTCCATAAAGCTATGTTCGGATTGCATCTTGTAATGGCTATGCTCGGTACTGCTCAGTTCCTCACTTGATGGAGGCGCGACTGGTGGGGTGGAGAGGGGGATCGCTGAACAAAGTTCAAAAGAGAGGAAAAGAGGCCGCCAGGGAGGGAAGAAGGAGGTCGAAGGTGGCGGTGGCACGAAGGAGCAAAATCGTGGAGGTGGGGCGAACGATCCACGATGTGGGAGAGCCCCACCCCCCCACCTGCTCCCCCAATCATAAGCTCCGCCTCTAGAAACCCGCGTGACGTCACACGGACACTTGTTACGCCTTGCTGGAACACTGAAACGCCGTGCTACTTGGTCCTCACCACTGTGGAGGAATCATCCCTTCGAACACCCTGAATTACCTGTAACGTATACTTTAAACCCCTTCGATCGCGAACCTGTCGAAACAATGTCATTTATTTCAGTTTTCTGCTCGACCCTCTGAGTAGCGACAGTCTGCTAATTACGCGGAGGTCCGTATTGGGTCAACATTGATCCGTACGCGTCTCCTTTTTTCTTGTCATTTATTGTTCTTTGACCAACTCTAAAGATTGCTTATTCAAGAAATATCACCAAATTTATGTTAGCGTCGATTCCTTTTTCAAGGGGTGACACGTGTCAGGGTGAATGCATTTGGGGCTTTGACCTGTTTCTCAAGAGTATCGTAGGTGTCGATATCAGAACCATAAGTCTGTCATCAGACTTGGGCTATTCTTTGACCAACTCTAAAGACTGCTTATTCAAAAAATATCAACAAATATATGTTAGCATCGATTCATTTTTCAAGGGGTGACACGTGTCAAGGTGAATGCATTTGGAGCCTTGACCTGTTCTCAAGAGTATCGTAGGTGTCGATATTGGAACCATAAGTCTGCCATCAGACTTGGACCCGACGTAGTTGATACTCGAGTCGCGACGAATTCTAGAGTCGCGGATGTTTTGTTTATGGATCATCAAAGGTACCGTGTGCGTGGCCGATGACCCGAAGTCATGGTGCTGCATGGCACGTGGAAAACGCTAAGGGTTTCTTAGAAGGATCTGGCCACGTAATGGGGAAGACCTTGCCTTTTGGTAAGAGGACTGTGATGAACCCCATGGCTCATACCCCGGAACTTTTGTGAAACGCGAATCGCTTAGAGATTTTGCTAACATACATAATAAAATATGAGTAAATTAAACGATTTTTAAATCTATTTTACACACGTACCGTTGACCATTGTCACCTTTGTTATTTTTGGAGCACATAAAACATTTTTCATGATTCGGAGTTGTCGAAACATCTTCCTCTTTAAGTATTTTTCAGCAGTTACAATTTCTTTGTATGATTCCGTAGTTTTTTATTGCATTAAAGATGGGACAGTCAACACCTCATTCTCTGTTCCCACAATTTTTTTCATAGTCTGTTGTAGCACGATTTTTTTATTTACCAAATGACAAATTCATCGTATGGGGTCATGTCGAGGAAATTGGAAGTAATTTGACAAACGATCGGTTAAAAAACGGAAACTGATCAAGGAGGAAAATAGAAAGGAAATTGTAGAAGAAAGAAAGCCATATCCGAGTCGAAAACCGTGGTCGAATTCACATGTAAATACGAATTTGTTACATTAATTATATATTCCTATGATTTGCAAACATTTTTTTTTGTCTACTAGTAACCATTTTGAAAGCGACACGATTACGATATCGCGGGTGCCGAAAGATTGGCCCGCCTTGGGAAATAACGCGATAACGCGGGGAATTTAGGCGATACTACTTCCTCCTTATCGGTGTAACAACTAACCGAAAGATTATGCAGAGAAACGACTAATTGCCGTGAAATAATTCCCGGTATTCGTCGGTGACCGAGCATTTATTATAAATGAAAACAAAAATTATCGGTTGGCTCTGGTTTTAATTAAACGCGAATAAATTTGCAGATAGGGACCGTTGCTTGTCATACGCTACGATGACACACAGGAATTTCCGCAATGCGATATAATAACGTCCCGTGTTACGTTTACGTACCTTTCACATAGTTCGAACGGCCTTCGATGCATTCTATCCTTTGGAAACTTGCTTAAAATTATTCCACAAGTATTACTGTACACACGTCGATAGAAAAAAATTAATTCTGATACACATATTTCGAAGTGAAAAAGCAATACATATTTTATTTAAACATATTAAGAGATAATTCGAAGAAAAACTTTCGAATGAAATTAATTATTCACTTATTTACTTTAGTGTCGCAAAATTAAACTGACACGTGTATTAACGGAGCTATTTACAAATTTATGACTACTAATTAAATTTTTTAAATTTAACGTTTTTAAGTATCGTAAGATAGATTGAATTAAATTTCCTCATTTTTCTTTTACTTTTATTTAAAAATTATATTTAGTCGACAGGATCGAGGTCTGGTGACTGGAGAGTTTCCAACAAATTTGGGAGTAACTATGAACTATGTGTAACGCATGTTTTCTGGTCATCTTGTTGGGAATAATAAACCTTGCTAGAGAAATATTATCGAACGTTAATATAAACGGACACAAATAAACGAGTATTACTTAAATTGCGCATAATCACATGTATGCATGGGCTACAATGCTTACTGATCAATGACTCAGAAATCCTTGGAAGTTACCGTGGTAAATAATACATCTTCGTTAATTATTCAAGCAATGAATTTTAATCATGCATCTTTACTTTCTAGTATACTTTAACATCTTTGCAAACGGTAAAGTATTGCAGTATAATCTGCTGTTACATATTTAATTAGACAATCGGTAGCACCGGAATTGTGCATGGAAATGAAGAAACTATTTCCATCGGACGTATTATATTTATATATTACTCCCTAAGATAAAAAAGTTTATATTTTATTATTCCAAAGTGTATGAAAAAATTGTGTAAATGTCTCATTTTTTCGAAAACGATTGAAATTGACGGTGTAATTATTAACTTTGAAAGTAATAATCTATGTTTCGATGTAACGATCGAACGCGACACTTTCGATCTACTGCAATGAAAAGAATTCCCATTTCATATTCAGCGCTTATCGAGCATACATGGTTCGTCAGTTAAGTAATTAAAAGGTTGTATCGTTGTGGTTAGGACATCGGGTTGGCATCGAAGGAATTAATCAGAAGCGATCACGAAAAATCACGAATCACCGTAGAAAAATGATCGCGATTGGGAACGAAAGCGATGGGATCGGTGGTGATTCGCAATTTTAGCTATATCTAAGGTTAGGAAGATGGTTCCCGTTCGAAATGGAAAATTAACTCCGAATGTGTCGCTCGTTAATGAACGAGCCGTAGGAATATCGAATCGCGAAGGACGCTGGTCGCGAAACGAGTCCGCGATCGGAGGGCGGGCGATCCGACGCCAGTGGGGATACGGGAGCGTCGGGACGCGGCGGGAGGACGCCGTCGACGGTGGGGAGCCTCGGAATTGCGAGCTTAGGCCGTCCCGGGCCGCTTACGCGGAACACGCGGCCGAAGTCGCGCCGCCGGCATTACGTCGCGCACCGTCGACCGCGACTGACGTTCGCGTGGTCGTTCCTCGATTCACGATCGACTTCCACTCGACCACCGGATGCGAGTATTCGCGCCTCGAGAGGTATCTCGACAACAGCCTTCGATAGCTCGCGGAACAGAGTGAAAGCGAGTGCACGGTCGAGCCTCCGGGGATCGAGGACTTCCGACGTCCAACAACCTGTAGGATCTCGCGCCACCCGCTAAAAACGTGTTACGTCGATTAAGTGGCTCGTAGAGTAATTCGGTCACCGATCGCGCGTCATCCGGACCAGTGACACCTCGCGGACTAAGAACGCGTCAGGAGTGGGGGAGGTTGCAGCGAGTTTCGGAATTTAAAACCCGGTCGCTGGTTGCATCGATGTCGACAGCAGGGGACATGACGTTGGCGGGAAACCAGTAGAATGATCCACGCTCGCCATGGAATCGGGAGAAACATCCGGGACGCGGTGAATACCGAGAATGTCGCGGAAGATACGATGAACGCGTCGGCGTGCAGCCGGATCGTTTTTCGAGCCGTCGAGAAGAAGCGGATAATTAGCTGGTGGACCATAAGGACCTGGTAGCGGAGGTGTTCGCGGGCTTCGGCGAGTGTGTTGGCGTCGAGGAGGCAAGTGTTATCACGACGTTCTGCCTTGAAGGTGCGTGCTTTGGCGACGAGGGGCGGCTATTGGCCGATGGGATGCATCTACCGGTGGGTTCCGTGGGCTGCGGGGAGAATTACGCCACCGTTGGATCCCACGAAGGCGCCGGCCCTTGCGGCCCCTCACTGGCGCCGCTTCAGGGGGTGAGCACCAGGTACCAGCAGGCCGACGACGCCGACGCCGGGGGTGGTGGTGGCGAGATGAGCGAGGGTGCCGCCGTCGGCGAGCTCTGGTGGACCGAGAGGCTCGTCGGCGAGGCACAAGCCGAACATCCTGGCGAATTGGTTCGAACAGGTTTGTACGATCCACGATATTATCTACAGACTTACCATCGCTTTGTATTCCTATCTATTTTAATTTACATATGTCTATTCGTAGTTTGTGGTTCATCGTCTAGTGCTAAAATTGTCATCTAAACATTAATCGACTACTTTCCATTTATCTACGAATATTATCTATAGAGCAATCTGCTATAACTACTTTTTATATAAAAATAGTGGCTAAAATTGTCATCTATCTGAATTTGAATACAACTATTTCCCGTCTAATCAATCGATTGCCAACGATTTATTATCAATTTGTTTCTGATCTACAACTACTATACACTTACCATCTACGACTGTTAAACGCCTATGATTTTATCGTCCAAGGCTATTTATTGTTTATGAATAGTTTCTCTATGACTATTTGCTGTATATGGTTTCATTGTCTCCGACTAATTATTGTGTGTTCGCCGTACATGGATTTAATGTCTGCTATTAGTTATTACCAATGATTTATTCTCTTCTGTTTATTTTTTATACGTGTCTGTTCTACAACTATTTGTCGCTTACGAATTAACTGTTTGTGGTTATTTGACGTTTATGGTAGTTTGTTTATGTCATCTAAACACTCATTGTATATAGTTTGGAAAATTATAATATTGAGAGTTCGTTACGAAGGACTCTATTTGCATTTAGTAACCAATATTAAATATACATATGCGTTTGCGACAAATATTTAGAATCCAGTAAATTGCATTAGGTTTAGCGGATTGTTGCCAGGTTTTATCAACCTATAAATAATTCATTACTAATAAATATTTACATGTCGGTGTTGACACAGTTTAATGAAAATATAAGTAACTGTTTAAAATCTTATAGAAACTAGAGGCAGGTCCAGAAGATTTATTTGGGAAGAGGGAAATTTTTAAAAATATATCTGTGGTCCTTCTTTTAAAAATTTATTTATAATTCATTAATTAATATTTTAATTATTTATTTGTTTACTCACACGCATACTCACAAATATAGAATGTAGTATCAAATGCATGATAGATATGTTTTGTTAAGATTTTATAACTTTAGGAGGAAGGGTCCACCCTAATAGAAACGTTAACAAATAAAAACTGCATGTAAAATATGTATTAGCAATAAGTGAAATTATTTGCCTAAGCGTTTTGTCGTTTTATTTCGGCAATATTTACCAATCGACTAACAAACGTAAACTGATGAATATTTATTGAAATATTTTGAATTCTCGGCAATTACTTTTAACGTTTCAAATTTCTAATAAAACATTACTTTCAATTTTGAAAGATTACATTGTATGCTTCCCATGTCAATATAATTCTATTCTTAAATAACTATAACTTAGATTCTGTATACTATTGCGGTTCTCCAAAACTACGAACATAGTTTTTCAAACTAAACTATAGTTTAAACTATATGGAATCATATAGAATATGTTTTTATCCTATATAGTAGAATTGTTTACATTCCTCGATCGTACATTGTAAAACATAGTTTCGTATTATTCAATCATATCAAAATCAAGTTAAATGTTGAATGAAGCCACTAAGATACTAAACGTATAATACATTGTTATTCATTCTCCAAACTAGAAGTCTCATTATTCTGAACAATGTGTTTTCCATATGTTCTTCTATTACTGAATTTGTATCACTACGCGTTAAATACAGTAACAAAAAGACGATAAACGATTGAAACGAAACTCTGAAGTGCAAATGATTTCAAAGTTCAAAGTTTACTGTGATATTTCGCGTTTCGTTTACGAGTCGTTATGGATACTGAAGTAGCCGGAATATTTATGGTTTCTGTCCTCAGGATCGCCGTATTTTCTCTGTAGCGAACTGCCGACTCACTGGCGGTCCAACAAGACGCTTCCGGTGGCGTTCAAAGTTGTCGCCCTGGGCGAGGTCGGCGATGGGACTGTGGTGACAGTGCGAGCGGGTAACGACGAAAACTGTTGCGCCGAACTGAGGAATTCCACTGCCTTGATGAAGAACCAAGTCGCCAAGTTCAACGACCTCAGGTTCGTCGGAAGAAGCGGCAGGGGTGAGTCTCTGAAACGTCGACTATATCCTCCGAACATTCCTTTTCTGCTCACTGTGTCACACTCTACACCTCTAGCCTACTACCTCTTCTATTATAACCCTAGAAAGATTATTACTAGGTCTGACTCTAGAAAGACCAAGGGTCAAGCTATTACGCGGGAGACCGAGTTGGGACTTGTCGAGATCACCTGCATTTCCGGTCGAAAAGCGACATCCAAAGAAACGTATTTCAAGAGTACATCGATAATTTTAAATATCAGAAATATGAACGAAATGTTTACATTAATTTTATTAGATTCTTTATCAAACATTCGTAACTATATACGAACATTTGTTTAAGTAGGATAAGAAAAGTAACTTATTTAGCCTTCGTGTAGTGGATACAGAACTATTTTGACCCAGCTGTAGTCGAGAATTAACTCGATACAAATATATTTTGTCTCTTTGTACAATTTTTGACTGATTTATGGACTTCTTCGAGCATTCATCAAAGTCAAATGGTTCTACGACAAACTTAAAACTTGATGAGCGATTCCTTTTTGAAACTCGTGCAATGTGAACATTTTATTATGTATCAAAATGACTCGTGTTCATCCTAAACTATCCACCTTTCGATGGTTAAAACAATTTTTAAGTGATAGGTTTGAGATCCTCCTTAGTCTTTCTAGGATCTTTATGTTTTAATCCATAGCATGAAATACTGTACAATGCATAAACAATCTTTAGTTCTGAAAAACCCTATCCGAGTTAATAGATACGAGTTGAAACAAAAGTTAAATTGCCAAAAGGTTGTGGGGGTTATAAAACGATCAATCAGGAATGTTTAGTTTGAGGATTGCGCGATCCTCAGAACTAGTTTACTTTGTAAGTGATGCAAAAAGCAGCCAGTAAATTGTCTGCACGGGAGAGGCATGTGCCGTGATTTCGAACCCTCTAAAAGCACGGTTATTGTAATCATCGTCGTCATCAACTGGCCTCGACCTCCCCCCGTGGACCACCTCGCTTTTCAACCCTCCGCGGCCGCGAGTTCTCTCGCTCCCGCCGCCCCCAGAGTCATTACTCGATGTCCGCCGGTAGCCCCGACCTAGCATCCGAAACAACTGGCCGTTAATCAGAAATCATCGTCCGTCGGCTAGGGAGAGAGGCTAAGTTCCCAAAATCAAGCAGATCCGGTTCACGCTCGCGAGTCATTTAATCCTTTCGATTAAAAAAGGGTCGTTTTCCTTTTACGTTCTGAACACGACGAAAGAACCGAATCGCGAAACTCGCCAGGGCTTCGAATGCAACCCAAATTGTTCGAAAACAATTTTCAGTTCTAACCTACTCTGTATAAGACCTGTCTAACCTACTCAATATAAAAATACGAATTCACTTTTGCTAGGACACGTAGTTGCTAATATTCGAATAAAAAACTGGAGGAGGAAGATGCACCTAAGTAGGATTTGGTGGTATTCTTGATCCCCGTTGAGATTGTTTGGATGTTTCAGAATCTCTTAATATTGTTTATCTCGTTCTGTGGATCTCGTACAAAACCACGAGCGTATCTCGTCACTTCGAAATGGAATCACCGAGCCAACCGCGGTGGTAACTTCGCTTATTCACGATTACCAACGTTTTTAAACAATCCGTTTCCCTGCGGATTAAGTCCGTCGGCTTTCAGGGACACGCGTCGATCGACGACGATTGCGCGCGGGGTCCCGGCAGGTAGTTTCGTCCGGTTCTGCAAATGCATTTTGCATCCCGTGCACCCGGAGGATGCATTTATGAATTAACGAGCCGGACTACGCGCGCAAGCGTTCGATAACGTCATCTATGTTTCATTTGATTTCATCATGAAGTGCAGGGTCAGCGAGTTTCATCCTTCTGACGCCGGACACGCTAACCCCGGGGAATCAATTAGCGAAAGAGACACGTCCCTCGTCAAAATCCTTCGATCCCTTTGTTCAGTTTTTTGGGAGTATTTTTTTATTCGTTCTATCTCTCCTCGATAATCCGTAATACTCAATTTCGACGATTGACCAAACCGCCCCTCTCCATAGTGCGCTCTCGTACTGGCCGCGAACGACCAGGCTACCCTCCTATCATCGAGGTTTTGTTTCCGCGACTTATTAATTTGATTGAATCTCGCCACGACGCAACGATCCCCGATATATCGCCAATATCAAGAACTTGGCCAGAGGACATTCGCTGGACACGTTTCCCCAAAACCCTGCACTCTCCTTGGTATTTTTCATTCGGGTGTAACTGTTTTAAAAATTTAGAATCCTTCGATAGAGGAAAACATCAATGGCGATGAAACTGCGTTTGTCGAAGCTTTGTGCTTTGAGTTACTAATTGTTTATAACAAGTTTATTTCTCGTCGATGCGTTTGTCGAACTAATAACAAACAAAGTAAAATTTTACTTGCGAAAATCTAAGATTTCTACCATAGTATATAAAAGTAACTTTCAATGTTGTTTCCTAAAAGCTTCCTAAGACCTCTTGCATTCTGATAATAAACCAGTGGTAAAAGCAACACGTTTTGTTGTAACAACAGACGGTTGTATTTTCCGTTCTGAATTTGATGTCCCATTGAAAGCTACGCAACTTTTGTTTGCAACATTTTGTCATATATCAAATACATTGTTGTTTTCATCGCGTTGCGAGATTCACTCTGTATCGTAGAACAAAATATTATATTTATTTTAAAGATTTTGCTACGAACGTTCTATCGCTGTTAATGGAAAAGCTGGACGATTTGCGGGAGGAAAAGTAGAGTTTAGGCGTCGGGCGAATGCAACAATGTAGTAATCCGAAAGAATGTTGATGAATCAAAGTCGGCGGAAGGGTATGGTCGCAATTATCACCTTCCTTGGAAGGTGCACGGCGTTCCGGGGCGCTCGTAAACGGAAAGAAAAGAGAGAAGGTGGATAGTAGCGCCGGATCAAAGAGGGACTCGCCAGGCTGAACGGGCGTTCCATCATCGTCGGTTCCGAGGTAGCCCGTGCCTATAATTAGTAATATACCGCAGTCTATATCGACACGGCTGAAATTACCACCGATAGTAATTATTTGACAATTGCAGAGACATCCTGTTGCGAGACTCGGGACCTTCCGTCCCCGTTCCGCCGTGTCCCCTCGTTTTCCATCCCAGCTTCTGGCTCCCACTTGGTGGACCAGCTAGCCCTACGATGAGCGAGAGACCTCGTGTCTCCCCTCCTCTCGCTCCCTGGTGCCACGAGTATTAACGGACGGTTTCGAGTGGTTTCGGACGGTTGTGTGGGCGGTTTGGGATGGCGCTCAATCTCATCCTCGGCGTTGGAAACGCACCGACACACCGAAACCAGGCCGTGAGTCGCGTTGCTGGATGAACCCGTTGATGCTCCACGTTATATAGGTGCCACATACGCGTGGCCCGGTTTTGTCTGTCGGTCTGTCCGTTCGTCGTTCGCGAATGCACAGCCTGGGTGTCCTGTCTCTGCAGATGACCGTTCCCATCATCGAGTATTAACCGCAGGACCGGGGAGGGGGGAGAATCGTCCGTGCGGCATTATTAGCCCCAAATGCGATGGACTCGGCCGGTAGAGGGAACGGAGGACTGGGGTGTCGCGCGCGGCCCCTTCTTCCGCTCGCTCGCGATACGACTTCGACGAGCTTTCGACCCCTTTCTCGCACTTTTAGTTTCAGAACTGCTCGTTCGTCTCTCCCAACGACGATCCGCGTTCCTGTCTGTCAGCCCGAAACAAACGTTTCCGGTTATCGAGTCGCTGTCCACGAAGTTCGCGATCTAGGTCTACCTTGGGGTAGGACGTTGGGGATGTTTGCAAAAACGAACAGTTACGTTGATCGTTGATGCATCAATGGCTGTTACCAGATGATCGATAGTTAATTTTTCTTAATTTCATCAAAAATCATAGTTTACAACTCCATTGATTTTTTTAAATTAAATGGTAAATGATGAAATTAAGTAAGCTGAATTCGTGTTTGAATTGTGTCAAATTAGACTTTAGTATCGTTGAACTTCTTTAAATTATGTCTTATCGAATATATTCTAGTTTGATTTGTTATTTTAAGACGAATGCAATACAATGCAGTGATCTCTTTACTTTCATTGAGGACAGAACAAAATTGGTTGCTACTGGAGAAGTTAGAGATAGACACATACGTAGTAAAATATAGAAATATTGTATATAAAGTACTGTCATCTAGATAATCCATCCCTAAAAAATTTCAAACCTTCAAGTGGATTCTAAAAGTGTTTGAGAAACCAATCGCGTTGGTGTTCGTCCAGTGATTCGCACCAATTATATCAATCACTCCATTTAGAGCCTGTGTAATGATTTGAGCCTATTTAAGTGAATCCGCCAAAGTCCAATGGCATTTCCATATTTAGAAGTATAAATCGATGGCATAAAAATATGCGTGAAACGAAGAGATCTCCCATTAGCATAGAAATTGTAAAAACAACCCTTAAATCCTTATCCCAGCAATTCTCAGAGTGTCTCATAATGTCTGCTTGACGAAATTATTTTTCTATTAGACGCGCCGAAAGAACGATTTAGTAAAAAGTCTTGGTTTCGATCTCGTAGGGCGGGAATCTTGGGGGAATCGACATTGTGAATCGTATCTGGGAAAAGCATCGGTTCCAATACCGTCCCATCAGTTGCAAACGTTTGCCGCGTGTCATCCGGGCCGCGATGCCCCGAAAGGACAGACGCGGCTCTCCGTGATCGATGCCGCTAATCGATTTTAAAACGAAAGCCAGAAAGAGCAACCGCGACACGCTGCGATTTTTGGTATTCCGAAACGAGCCACTTTGCGCTCGGCCGGAACGATGACGATAACAAGGATACAATGACGGGCGCGAGAGCGACAGCCACCGCGGGCTCAGGGGGTTGCGATGGGGGCGGCGGAGGAAGAGGGTGGAGCGGTTGCAAGCGGGGGAGAGGGGCATGCTATAACTAGGATATAACGCCGTGCCTCTCTGCAGTCAGTTGCAGTTCCCGGGGGCGGCGGGGTTGGGGGTGTTTGATGCCGGTTATCATGTTGACAGACACAGCGAGGTGGACCAGGCCGCGCCAAGGGGAGACAATTACAAATCGTTGACGTTTACGCCAACACAAACGACTACATGTCCGCGACACGTTAGATATCCCCTCTTTAGCGCGAACGATCTTCTTCCCATTTTATCGCGGTTCAAGACTTCGAATCCTCCGGCACGGAACCGGAACAATGCCTGTACCAGGCGTCCCACGTAACAGGGAAAAGCTACGTCTCTGAAACGATCAGTGATACAAAAAAATTTCGTTAGGCAAAAATTATTTTATTCAGCTTTAGGCATCGATGCGCTTAAAAAATGTTACTGCATCCTTCCTTTTTAACGGGACTCTACAAATTTAATTGCAGTTTTTTAATCTCTATAGAAAGTATTTAGGTATTCAGCCTTTAAATTGAAAAATTATACCACTTTAATGTTTATTAAACCACTCAGGCTACAACAAACGTTCAAACAGTGTTCCATTGTAGTCTAAACATTTTTACATTCTCTTCTTTGCGTCTCGTTTTATAATGTTCGATGTTTTTAAACGGATATGACCTTTCATCTTCTAAAATTGGTTGCGACGCATCCTTTTCATAATTTATAAAAGTATGAAGGCAATTGTTATCTTCGACGAGGATACTACTTCTTCGTACGATTTTGTAACACCACAACCGTTCTGGTTACACTTAATGAATGAAATAAACATTTCTGCCCTTCCATAACTCGCAAATGCATAAAATTACATTCAGTTTGAGCATCGTTTGATCCTTCATAAAAGTCGTCAACGCGTTTGAATATTTTTAAGAATCCTAAGCCTCGCCACTTTTCCAAAGTTCGGGTGTTGTCTATTTGCAAGCGTGTATTTCCAATACCATCAACACCTCCTTCCTAAAAAGCCAATCTATTTTTAAGTGGCCGAACCGTGCCGACACAAAGTAACTCCGAAAGGACCTAAGGTGTATAACACAGTTGACTTTGCCGGCCGAAAAAAGACAACGGGGGCTCCTTCGTTCGAGCGGCGAATTACCGAATGCATATTAGCGCGCGAAGAGCCCGTTTAAGAGAGCGTAGTCAATCTCCGCGACGGACATTTATGGAGAGGGAATTAATATACCGGACCTTCAACCTCGAGACCTTCGTCGGTGATATATGTACAACGGTGCCCCACCCCCTAGCGTTCGTTTCGCTTCCCCTTAAAGTCTGGACAGTCGAAGAAACTCGCGGTCGCTCGAGACATCTAATGGCTGCTGATGTAATTGCTGGAATCGTAAACTATTTGGATCGAGATTCGGTAGACTCCCTTCTGACCACAGTCTTCGAATCTATCGTTTGATTTTTCACTGTTGGCCCCAGCGATAAACCAGCGTTTCTTATTAATTAACTATCATCCCTTAGGCTAGACGCGCCAAGAGTTTTTGCGTATTATTCTTCTGTCAGAGAATTTGTAGAACTTCTGCTGATAAATAAGGGAAATATTTGACTGTACTTCATCCAATGGTATCGAAGGAACCGGTAGGTTAGAGTTTAATAAACTATGACCACCTATTTTGACAATCATTTAACACAAGCTCGTTTTAAAACTTGAAGTTTTCGCGAAGAATCGTTTCTCGAACATTTTCTCACGTCAAACAGTAGAACGAACAACTGAAAGTAGTTTTTTTTTAAACTTCGTTAAATTCAAACAACTCTACGGCTCTTAATTATTTCTTTTTGCAATTCATTTTACAGTGTGGTTGTAGAGAAAGGTTTCCTATTTGTAGCGACCACCTCAAAGTCAATTTACGATCTTTTGTTGGCGTTTTATCGCAGTTTGAATGAGAAGTGTGCCGTCAGCGATTGAAAAATTCGAGGTACCCAGTGTTTGCAATCTGAGAAACGTTTTACTACGCAAGTGTCAGATCTATCAATCTTGTTTGCTGCTTCTAGGATGGATATTGCTTATTTCGAATATTTATTATAGTATAGTTAAACGCACAACAGCTTTAAAATCCTATTGATATTATGAAACTGTGTTTATTATAGAATAATATACCTCCCTGTTTTTCTTTAAAATCGCAAAATAAATAACAGAAAATATAGTGATTGAAGAAGATTAAAGTGAAGTCTAACGTTTAGATCAGTTCGATCATGTCACACTCATATGTTTGCAACCCTTTTCGACAACTCTCCCATCGTTTCTAGGCAAAATGATAAGGATATCTTTTGTCCCTTGAATGACACTGTAAATAGTCCTGCAAGAATGTTTCATTTCCATACGAGGCCAAAAATGACCATTTTCTATCATCTTCCTTTGCTGCCAACATGTATTTATGGAACAAATGAACCGATGTTAAATGTTTTTTTTTTCCAGGAAAGAGCTTCAGTATCACCATAACGGTGTCAACGACGCCACCCCAGGTAGCAACCTACACCAGAGCAATCAAGGTGACGGTGGATGGACCAAGGGAACCACGTTCCAAAACGAGTGAGTAGAACATTTTGCACTTTGCGTAACCCCGCGGATCTATCCGCGAGATCTATCCGCGGCCACCGGCTGCTGCTAGCGTGGATTCCCTGAAAATGTACCGATAATTCAACGAAAGTCCCTATACGCGGTAATGGGGAGTCATTACCGAGCAGATGGTGCGCGATGATGCAGTGGTCGACGTGCGTACCGCGCGTATGCGTGTTTCGGGTTAGCTATTCACCCGGCCGTGCTACATAGACAATGCTTTTACCCGGGCACACTAACGCGCGAAAAGTAATCCACTTACCGTAATATACCTATGAAAACCTCCAAAAATATCCGTTAATTATTGATGCTTGGGCATGCTTAATAACCGGTCTCGCATGTTGCGTATTGGCGACATGGGGCTTGATATACAAATAACCGGGGACCATTGTCGTTTAATTCGACGATGTTCGCCATTTTATCGGGCGCATGCGAAACTTTCCATCGTTTTTAGAGATTTCTTTATAAACCGTACAATCATTTTTAATCAAAGCATCTCCCACCGTTCTTTTTTTTCGTGTCGACGTATTTTTGAAGATTCAAAAGAATTTGAAATTTTCCACAAATGCAGTTCAACGAGCCTATCATCGAAACAATTTATTGTTCTGGCAATGAAACGATTTTTACGGTGGAAAGAATTCCTGAAGTTGTTCATTATATGGAACTGTCGTAACATTTTGACCTGAATTTAACCATTCACATCATCGCGACCATGAAAGTTTTGCTCTGGCTACTCGAAATCATTCAAATAAAAATGGTCCAATATGTGACGCTTCTTCTATAGAGGCATTATTTAAAAACCAAACCTAAAGGAACAAAAATATTTTTTGTATATTCCTTTTATAACAAGTAAAATTTCTGATGTTTGAAGTACTCTTTTTCGCTTGGAATTTTCCACCCTTGAATTTCGATTCATCGTTGTGTGCGTCATTATAATGCTCTGCAGGAAAGCGAGTAACGTTAATATACTTGTGTATTTGATGTTCTGAATTGCAGTGGAACTTCGATAATTGCAGGAAAACTAGGCTGAAAATTTATGCAGTTATCGAAGTAATCAATCCAATGAGGGAACCACACTTACACAGCGTATCTGCTCTATCTATGGTCACTACTATCTGTTACTACCTGTGGTTACTAGTATCTGCACTGTCTATGGCTACTACTATCTATTATTAGGTTCTATCTATGGTTACTACTTGTACCGTCCGAAACCGCAATTTTTTTACAAATTTCACCGAGTTCATAAATCTCGCTACATTCGAAAGTTATTTTGTTTTTATTTCGTGTCTGGTTGTATTCTCTCGATCGAGCATAACTGTGCCTTTAATGTAAGCATCAGTTCTGTTTTATAAAGCGATTGGTGGTGCGTACGGGGGAGGAAAAATGGCCGTTTCATGATTTGTGATCACTGTCGAAAAAAACAAACAACAGGAACATAAAATATTTGAGAATTTTTTAATTATTAGGATAAATTGTTTCATATTGATTCCTTAACTTGTGAAAATACACCACCACCAATTTTACCATCGCTAAAGCAACGTTCCTTTGTTTACCAATTTCTTGATCATTTGGCCAACTCTTTTAACACGAGTAAAAAAGATCTGTTTTTCCGTTTTCTCGAAGCAACGGGTATCAAATTAATTGCGTGGAAAAATTCTATCATCTCTTTGGCGATAATAAGTAAATAGCGTATAATTACTTCCGTGTTTTGCGAAATTTTAATTCGACGATTAAATACGCGCATTGCGGCCGCTGAAAAATTGACGAATATTATATAGTTTTCTCTGTTAGCTAGGGATTGCTCGCCGGGAGCAAAACGGACGATAAAAAAAAACGTTAGTAAAATCAATCACGGTAGACCATTTCGAAAAAAAAAAAATCTGCGAGGCCAACGGGTACGCGTCGCCCTACGCCTATCAATACTTTATACAACAAATGCGAAACGTCCGCAAAAAGCTGCCGTATTCGCGGTCGACTCCGCAGCGGCTATTAATCTGATATCGAAATAACAGACATTTTTTTTTTTTGTTCGTACGGACGAAGCCAGAAATAGGTGGCAAAACTCGCTTAAGCTGGAACAACTGTTACGAATCTCCGGACTCGTACGCGGAATCATCTGGCTGTTTTAAACGAGTCTCGTCGACAAATATTCCGTGAAATAAATTTACATTTTGTGGAACCATTATATAAAACCGAGGACGAATAATCAAAAAACGCTGAAGTTTAATCGTTCTGGCTTGCGCGGATTCAACTGAATTATTTTCATTATTGGTCGATACCTGTTCCCGCGTAGTTATCCTCACCGTTTCTGAATCACCTTTTCGAATAAATATTTCATGGCTAAACAACCTGTTACCGGCTCACTTTCATTTTTTAACGCGTTGCATTTATGCTAATACCAAGGTCCTGCCGAGGTTTCTATACGATTTCTTGCCAATTGTACAGAATGATAAAGCTTCGGCGTGGACTAGTTTTGAGCGAAGCAGAATCAAACAAGCCGAATTATTTTAAAAAGGAAGACGACAATGATCGAGACTAGCATAATTTTGACAATATGACAGCTCGTAAAGATGAATTTGTATTCTACTGGTTATTTTTCAACATGAAATCAACAATTGAGTCCCTCAATCTACTGAATCCTTTCAATATTGAAACAGTATTTTTAACGATCAAGAGCCCCTAACAACGATTGAAGTAGACTGAAAGGGTGCCTAAGCCAGATGAATTACAGTTGATGAAAATACTCTTCTATTCCACTGTTTATTCTTCGACATGAAACCAACAATTGAATCACTGAATCAACTGTACCCTACCAATATTCAACGATTAAGATTGCCTAACAAAGATGGAGGTAGAGTGAAAGATAGCCTGAACTACATGAATTACAGTTGATGGAGACGAAATTCTATTCCACTGTTTATTATTGAACGTGAAACCAACAATTGAGCCCCTAAATCAACTGAATCCTTCTAATACTTAACAACTAAGAACCCCTAACATCGTTGAAAGTAGACTGAAAGAGGATTTAAGTAAAATGAGTCACAGTTGATGAAGATGAAACTCTAGTTAGCTGTTCATTCTTTAATGAGAAACTTATCGTTGAGCAGCTGAATCGTCTAAAACGTTCTGATGTCGAAACACCGTCTTCCACGATCAGGGTTCCCTAACAATGATGGCGGTAGCCTGGAAGTGGACCAAAGCCAGACGAGTCACAGTTCGTGAAGACGGTCCCAGTCTGGAAACGTCGGGCCGATCTAATTCCGTCCGTAGAATGAAAAGGACGTGTCGCGTGGAGGCCGGCGCTCCTGTCGGATAGGACACGCATCACGACATATTGCATATACGGGTTTTGGCAGCGGTGGCGTGTCTCCTCGGCTTGGCACGCACCAGGGACAATCTATGTAACGACCAGCAAGCGTACGGGCGCCGTCGGGCAAAACAACCGGCGCTTTCATTGTGCTCGCAACGATGCGAAGCGCACCGCTCCGCAGACACCTGCCGGCTATCATTATTGCGTGGATAATCGTGAGCTTTTTGTTATCGAAAATCACCAACCCCCTCCCTCTCTCTTCGCGTCTCGTCCATCGGCTGGTTCTCTTTCCCTCGCTTCGACTGGCCGTTTCGGGGCGAGCCGGTAATCGTGCAATTTCTGTAATTCGCCGGCCGTCAGCGCGTGTAAATACTGCAAACGCGGCTACCGTGGCCAGGAACGACACGTAACAGGATTAACGGACTTCCCAAGGCTGTAATAGACTGACCGGAACCGTTCGAAAGCATTAGGAGCTTTTCGGACAGACGGGTCGCGAGCTACGAACCGGCGACCGATCGAAAGATGACTTTTTTTAAATTAAAACGTGGATGAGGAACTAACGCGAGAAGCGACTGAATCGATGCAACTGAAAATCGAAGCAGCAGCAATTTGCATCCGAAAAAGGAAATTGTGCGCGAAAGGAGTCCTCGTTACTCGTGTAATGGGTTAAAAGAAATTAATTTTTCGTTCTTCTCGTGAGTCAAATGTAAGTTAAAGTCGAATTCGCACAAATGACAGAGTTTCATTTTTCAAATTGACATCTAGAATTTTAAACTCAATCCATTGTATTAGTTATGTGTTTCTTTAGGTACTGAACCTAAAATTTTGGGTTTAGTTTTTATTTATTTTTTATTAAAACCAGTAGAAGGGGTGTTCTGTTATCGTTGCTACTTTGTACGAAACAAAAATTGTTTTTTGTAATTTGACCATATGATAGCTTTTTCCCAAAAGATTCGTAAATATCAGTTACTTTTGAAGCTGCTATATGAGAATCCCCCTCGAATTGTCGGTCAGTGCTGAAAGCATTCGAAGCAACGCGGAAAAACGAGTCAAACGAACGGAGAAAGGGATCACGAAACAAAGTGGCCGCCTACCGTCGCCCAAAATCATCGGAACATTCCCGCCAGTACAATATCGATGGCCGCTGTCAGTCAAAAGTTGAAATTGAATTTGCTTGACCATTAATTGGTCCGCGTTTGGAATGTCGATTAAAGGGAACAGCGTACCCGAAATGATTTCTCATCCTCGTAGGAAAAAAATCCGGAATCTATTGTCAGAGTGTAAGGGTCATACGAGGATTGAAATTGTCCCGCTGGAAAATCAGTCTTAATTCGTGACTGGAACTGAATGGATGCAGGATGTTGGAAAAACGATCGTTCTCCAAGATCGTGGATTTCGAAGTGAGTTGCAAGCAAAACAGGATCACGATTGATATCATGCATACCAAAGGATATATTGAGAAAATGTGACATAATAATCGGAAATAAACTCCTACAATCACCCAACGATAAGACTGTTAGACTGTCGTTAAACCATTTGGACACGTGATTAAACGTGATACGAATTTTAATTCTGATCTCTCGTTGAAACAAATAATGTTAAATTGTTCCATCTTCCAAGAAATATTTTTATTATAACGAATTACAATTATTATTTAGATTCGTTTAAGAGCAAGTTGAAATTTCTTAACAAATCAGCTGAGGACCCTGTACATTTTTTTAAATAATTAAGGAACCGAATGAAATTATTCTTTAGTGGACATCACGAACATTAGAGATAATAATCAACATTATATCCAAATGTTGGGTATTTTATCTTAGAGATATTAGAGAGAAAGATTGATCACCTTCGAGACACGAAAGACTCCATTCCAGGGGGCAACGTTTCAAACAGGACGGATTTAAAGTCGTCTTTTTAGGAGAATGCAGACTTGTTGGACATCGATGGAAATGTGCAAGAGAGGAGAGAGGAGAAAAGATTTGAGCGAAATTCTCGAAACGTCAAGGAGGACGTAAGACGAGCGGAGGGGAGAGGTCCGTTATTAGAGAGGAGGAAAAAGCCACGCTATTTCCGTCCTCCGGGGCCGCCACACTTTGATTAGATAAGCCCACCACTCGTGCTGCGGAGATTGGAATTATTGCTCTCTCTCTGCTTCACCATGCTCCACGAATCCAAAGGGGCAATCGGCGAAGGTGTTATATCACAATGGTTCTTGTTTATTGTAATTAACCAACTTTCCGCTCTTGGATTCGGATACCAGGTACATTTTCGGCCGCGTCGAGTCCCCTGCACTTGGCCAGACGATCGTCAAGGATTTCGAGCCAGGATGACTAAAGTCGAGACGCGATTACTGTTCACCGCGATAATTCAGTCGAGCTTCGACGATCTTTCTTCAGGAAGAAATCGTGACCAGAATTTTTCGTAGAAGCGATTAAACCTACATGCGATGAATGATAGAAACGTGTTATAGTTGCTCGAGGAATCAAGATGAATTATTCAATAATTTCAATGCTCCAAAATGTGTTAACAGACGATACCTTGTTAAAAAGTGACGAGAGATCTAGAATTCAGTTTCCAAATTCATGATAAAATTGCTAAATTGTAATTGAACCTAGAAACAGATAGTACTATTCGAAGAGATAGTGTTTTCTTAATATTCTCTTGATATAATGTGGCTCGTTAGTTTAGATAATAGGTACAACTATTGCAATTTTATCATTTGCTTCATGTTACGAATTTACATTGTACAAACACTTAATTTCGGCAATCTTTTAGCGATTTAGGGTAACGCTATGTCCAAAACAGGTGCTTTAATTCCACTTCCTGAATAAATAACCAGATATCTAAGGACGCGCAACGAACATTTAACTTACAAAGTAATCAGTGACGTGATAAATATAGTTAAGCCGAGAAACCGATAACACTGTTCCAAGAAGCATAGTGTGACCTTATATGTATTTCCTACCAAACGAAGTACTCTTTGTTTCTACTCTATCAGACGTGATTCCCATAGAATCCATAAAATTTCCCAAATTATTTGACGGTATCTTAGCGAATCTAGTATGGCGCCTTTCAAAGTTATTTGCCCCTTCTTTCGAGCTTCCAAACACTCGCAAGATAGAATTTACGTTGATATTCGGGACTATATGCATAATTCTTGATCATGGTAGTTCGTCGAATGAGACACAGATACACACAAACGTCAAAAAATAAGTGTCAAGGTTTTCTTCGGTAAAACAACAGACTTTATCCATTTGTTTCTCGGCGTAAAAAGCGGCATGAACTTATCAGGTGACCCGATAATTAGACACCGAAATCCTGTTGAGACTCAGCCAGAAGGCACGATTTGACTTTTTTTTTTATGTTCTTCGCCGTACGAAAGGATCTCCTCGCAGACACGGGGATCCAAGATGAATTATCGGTACCTCTCTGCGTCCCATTCTGCTTTGCTCCTCTTGAATGGAAACGCCGATCGAGGTATCCAAAAAGAGCGTCGGCCGGTACGTTTGGTGCATTACAAGCGTCCGGTACGTGAGAAGTCGTGGGATCCGGTCGTGGAGCCGAAGGCAGAGCTCCCTTGTTTCTCCTGGCTTGGCTGATCGTTGTAGTCGGTAGCGAGGGATAATCTTGTAGGCATCGGTTGGTGCACCGGAGCTGACCATCTGGGCTCGCCGACAATTTCGTGCAGTTTGCGGTCGAACTTTATTTGTCGTTCGCCCTCGTGGCCGAAGTCTCTCCTTCCCCACGCCGTCGATTTTCTTCCTTTATCGCGCGCCCTCTTCTTCCTTCGTCCCCTTCGTCTCGGTTACTCCCCGCCGGAGGAATAACAATTTACGCCTCGGCTCCCATTCTTGGCTTCCTCTCGACCGACTGGACCCGTTCAGAGATGAAAGCAGAACGACGCGCTACTTCTCCCGATCGCGACTGGATCCGCGAGCTTCGTCGTCCTTTTCAAACACCACGACAGAGTCGCCAAACGTTGACGGCGTGACATTAAATTATGAAAAATGTGAGGTTCGGAAGCATTTTTCCAATTAGTTTTCACTAGAAAGCCAGTGACTTGGGAGTTTGCTTCGTATCCAAACTCGACTTCTCTCCACATATTCAAATCATCGTTGCAGAAGCTGACGAAACCTTTAGCTTCGTCAAGCGGTATTCATCAACCCTTACCAATACATATTGCATTCGATTGCTTTACTGCTTACTTGTGAGGTTACGGCTAATCAAACATAAACAGATTGCATTTAAAGTAGGGTGAACTATGCCTATAACTGATCATATATATTGATTAAATTTAATAGATTTTAATTTACGAACGTCTACAAACAAATCTAGAATTTGACCAACAATGTTCCCATATTTCTCAGCGAGGGTTTATTATCTGAGTAAGAAGCATCAATTTTGTACATATTGGAGATTTTTAAGAAGAGATAAATAATTTCGTGCCTCAACCCGAAGGCAAAATTGTCAGAGATCAGTGGGAGTAGAGAAACAGTTTTTCCACGGATTTGTTCCGCGCAGGGACGCGAACGATGGAGCCTCGAAGAGGCCCAAAGGGTTTGCGAGAATGGCCGTTAAAGGGGCTTGATCCGTGCGGTATTTCGCGGACAAAATGCCGATGTTACGTAGTCGAGTCATCTTCCCGCTAAATATCCTGTCCAATGATTATGCAAGCAATCGAGCCTATGCACGTGGCGCATAATGTGCAACGCCGTATAACGACACGCGCGGGCTACATGCATATTGCGATCCGACACAATAGCGAGTCGCCGTGTCCGCTGTACTATGTAGGCGCTGCGATACTTGGCTCGGTGTTCTATCAATTCACGGGGGCTGGAATGTGCGAGGAATGCTATTGAAGTCGATCGGTACACGGACCAGGTCGAGTTTCTTAATTATCCCACTCTATCGGGCTAATTGCACAAACATCTGCCCCTTGACCCCTTCCACCGAACGCTTGGACGCCGTTGCTTTCGTTCGCCATTGCAAAAGTCTTGAGAGGATACCTTTAAGAAAAGGTGTCCAGCCCGAGAACAGACATTCCCATAAGATTCGAGCTTCTTGACGAGTGTCTTTGGCAAGTAGAGCACTTTGAGTTGGGATCCATTGTTTGCGTTAGGGAGAAATTGTTTGTACGTTGGTGTCGGGGCGTTTTGGAGTCGAGTTTGACAGGGCACAATGATTAAAAATTCCTTCTATATATTTTCCTTGTTACCCATGCTTTCTCTCTATTGAGCATATTTTAGTATTCTGTGCTTTATTTTTTTTTATTCGCTCGCTTCTGTAGTTCGTCTTAATCTATTTGCAACGAAAATTAAGTGCAAAGGTTTGCAACCAATTAATTATTCAATCTGTGCAGCACAATCTTGCTGCCTAGTACTTAACACTTAACACTTATTTGTACCATAGGAATTTAAACGATAGATACGGGTCATTTCTAGAGTTCAAAACATATGAAGAGAGAACCAGAAAAGTGGTGGAAAGTAAGATGAAAGATACTATTTAACTACTTGAAATAAATGTGCTTGTCTCGCAAACTATCCCTAAAGATGAACTGGAACACCTGACGAGTTTTCGGTTGTATTGTGACGCGATTCAAAAAACAACTGTTCCAGGACAGACACACATCCCTGGACTGGCGCGAGTTCCTGCATTGCCACGAGTCCCTGGTCTGGCACGAGGAACCTTCCCCGACGCACCGAGCCCGTTCACCCCCTACCTACGAGAACCGGACCCGTACAGGAGGAATAAGCATCACGTCGGCAACAACGTCACCGCGAATTCGGTTAGTGGTGCCTGTAGCAACCCCAACAACACCGACCCGACCGCATCGCCCGCTTCCAGTACACACCTCGGGGCTACCGGCGGCTCCTCGGCTCATCAGGATTGCTACAAGCACAGCCCTCAACACGGCGGTGAGTCTTGCTACTTCTACCATCGCTTCCGGATCTGTGGATGGTTCATTCACTGACCTGGCTGGCTCGATTCCCGCGGATTAGGCTACTCGGAAATTTACCGGAACCTCGAACGCAGATTCGTTCAATTTTAACGCGCCGGTGACTCGTATCTGGAATCGTAAATACGACTCGAACGCCCAGAGAGACGATAAAATATTCATAGCGATCGATCTCTGCTATCTGTTCTACGTATCATTGTGACGCAGCTACAATTATGCATAACCCACGAGGTCATCCTGCGCTAATTCGATCACCTTTTCTCGTCGAGGTTAGCGGTTTTGATGGAATTTAAATCTATCGTAAGCCGCCATTTTGCTGGTGCAGAATTTGCTTAAAAAATACATCGTCCCACAAGTGGGTCGGTCGACGCGTTAATCCCTGTAGGTCAGACTGTTGGACGGTAGTTAATCATTAATTGGTGGTACCACAGGTTTTAAAATTTTACACTTTTCATGATTCTCGTATGGCAGTTTGACTTCAACTATTCGTTAGTATCGCATTTTTAGGTGCCTCGAATATTTTTTGTTCAACATCCGGTATGTATTGTATTTCTTCTTGCTTATTTTTAAACTTCGTTCTTCGCATTTCTATGGAAGTTTGATCTATTTAACATTTCTTAACATTTAAAATTTAGCTTGAAAATATTTTCTAAATTTAATCATTTGTCCTGGATTAACTTTTTGACTTTATAAAAATATTTCTTTTAACAATTACGTCTACAGCCATTTGCATCCAAATGCAGAGCTATCGAAAGGCACTTTTAGATCGAAATAAGTGTGCGTAAAACCGCGTTAGGAATGGTGTTAAATTGCTATAAATTGGGGTGTTTTTACTCAACTATAGAAGCACACATGAGCAATTTACGCTTGACCCTCTTTTTGCATGGTATCTTTTTACACGAAATTAAATTACGTTTTATATAGTTTGTATCCGTCGCTTTCGCCGTGTAGAAAAAGGTCAGGTGTAAGTGGAAGTAGTCGAACGAAAAATCAAAACTGGTTTGGAACGCGAAGGGTTAGTCTATCATTATTCGATTCAACAGCAGGGAACTAGAAATCGAATCCTATTCGAGACTACAAGTTGTTCGTGCCGATTTCTCGGATATGATTGCACCTTGCAGCGAAACGGATCGATTAAAACAATCCATAAACGTTTGATCACCATTGCTAATTAATCGCACCGTCGGATTTCGCGGCTGGAATCGACGCTACCGTTCGACCAAGTAACAGCCGAGAGAAGCCGCTGTCTTCCGATCTGTTTGCTTGTTTCGTTCGATAGTGGATATTCTTGGGGGCATCATCATCTTCCGACGAGCATCCTCGTGGCTCGTGGAGCGACTCAAAACTACGCGCCAACCCCACCCACCCCCTCTACGGGCGGAGGGGAAGCGATGGCGCGGAATCGAGAGGAAGGAGAGGTTCGCCGTTTCGCGAGGTAATAGTTTCATACCTCGTTCCGGCTCTGCACCCTCTAATTCAACGTAATAACGACATTCAACCTGCCGTTTCCATCTCTTCTCTTGCCTGATCCCCGCCACGGAGCGCCGTTGAATCTCCCTAGCACGAGGCAACAGTGTCCTCTCCTCTCCTGGCGTTACGTTCTCGTTGGTTAACAGGATTCCCGCGGAATTCGACCGTTTCCGGCGACCGGTCCGTCACTTTTCCTCGTTTCGAGACATTCGCGATAACTGGAATCCTGAGAAAAAGAAATTATAGATAGACAAATATTAGGTCGTTCCATAAGTTTTCTTCTTGAGCTCTTCCAAGAATTTAACTGACTCGAGAACTAAGAATGACACTCATCGTAAAGCTCCCCCTAAACCACGTTATAGTAGACAAAAAACATTTCGAATCACTAATATTAGAACAAATTAAGCTGATCAAGTTACGTGATTCATTCTGTGACGTTTCATATGCAACAACCTATTGTATACTTCAATGTATCCAAAACCACGTTTGAAATTGAAGGAATCGGAGCGTACGGGAATCCAAAGATAGTTAACCCCTCGCGAGAGCAACGGAGCATTTTTTCGCGACTCGAAATGGAGTATATTTTTCGAAACGAAGGCGCCTTGGTCGATTGGACCAGACTGGGCAGGCCAATTCGCGTAACAGCTGCTCGGTAGCAATTCCCAGCGATATTTGGAGGTCGAGATATCTGGTGCCGATAATTCAAGACGCAAAAAGGCGGGAAAGGTCGGCGGCCACTTCATTTCTGCGCGGCTCGTCTCGCATCAGCGGTCTCGACCTGATCAAAGTTAAGTAGACGCGCCCCTGGCTGGCAAGACCTCTTTGAAGCTACGTTGCGGTTTCTCTTTGCCCTAATCTCCGCCGCCTCCGACCTCTGCCACCCTCTTCGTCGATCAGCCCCGTGTGCTGCCTTCGGGGCGAACTTTGCTGCGCCCGTGTCACCTTCCCAGATCGGCCACCATTGTAATTACCTCATTTATCCAAGGCAGAGTTTCGCCTGCCTTCTTTGAGTAGCCAAAGACGGAAGTCTGCGTCTTTTCTTTGACACGGCGAGTTCGGCGTAGGTGGAAACTTTCAACGACAGTGGGATCGCGAACGATCGGAAGGCGGAGCCTGAAGTTTTTTTCACGCGGAAAGTACGTTAAGTTAGCGGTTATTCCTGTCGTCACAGCTGTTCGTCAAATCTGATAGGAAAGAATGCACTACTAGTTGCCCATACGATTGTTATTAATTGATACAAATAATTTATTAAAAGAGGTAACGTCCATGTGTAAATATTCCGTTTCGTAAACTTTTTTATTTAACACGTTGACTGCCACGGTGATCACTAGTGACACTTTAAACTTACATCGTGTTGTAAAATTGTTTATAATTGAACAATCATAATATTTGCAGCAAATAACGCTACTGTCATTCTATTTTTTGCACTATGTGTTGCTTCGATATTGAAAGTTCTATTGCTCTGATCGAAAAACCCTATAGAAACCAGTCTTCGCGTTCAACGGCGGAATACGCGATCGATCGAAGTATCCGATTCTTCCTTCCGCTGAAAATCCAACGAACGGATGTATCTTTCGATATAAACGACCCAGATTCCGCGTAATATCCTTCGCGTACCGCTCTATCCAGCATCGCGTTTCTCCAGGCTGATGCTCGCAGAAACCCATCTGCAAATCGTTTCTACCTGTTCCTCGAGATTCCCCTCGCTTAAATTCGTTCCCTCTCGTTCTCCGCGCGTAATGCAAACATTTTCACACCTATCACATGAATGGGAAATAGTCGAGCGCGAAATAGTTCGTTTACTAGTCGCCCCATTCATCTCTTCTCTTTTCTGCATCCTCCCCGCGATGGTCCCGTCTTTCTTCTTCGCGCCTAATGAGCAGATCCGAGGCCGGGCACACGTACGAACGAGCATAGAGTGCGAAATGAGCGAGCCGAGTGTTGGTGGATGCAATTTTCTTCCTCCCTCCTCCGCCTCTGGCCCTCCTCCTTCAAGTAGCTCTGCTCTTTTCGAGTTGCCCACCGATTCAGGCCCTCTCCCGAGGCGTCGTGGCAGCCTACAACGCCGCTCACGTACAGCTCACGTGCACGTCTGCGTAATACCAGGGATCGATCGGTCGATCGATCGCCTCTCGATCGATCCAGAGCTGGATCCATGTTGTTTTTGCCCTTCACTGCCGCACCGACTCCTCCTTTTGTCTCGGGCTCGGTTCGCTTGCGATGCCAGACGTTGTTGAATCGAACCTATCTCTCCTTCTTCATCGTCATCTTCCCGGCAATCTTCTTCCTCGCCGTTTCGTCTCTCTGTCTCTCGACTCCTGGTCTCCGATTGCTCTCTGGATCTCACCTACACGACGATCGCGAATCGGTCGTGCGTTTACCGTATGAATTGAACCGTCTAAGCAACGTTCAACAATCTCCAGCTCTCTACCCAAAGGGTTTCTCAAGAAGGACGCGCCATTTTTGAATTTGTATTATCAATTTATGGCCGTCACGATTGTTCCTGTTTGCCCCTATTAGTCTTTTTAAAAGAGATGCTGTTTGTAGGTCGAACAAAACTGTAAATCTGTTTTCCTTTTTAATGCCAAGCCATTATGAATGGGATTCGTCGGGTCTGGATGATCCAAAAAGTCAAAAATGTAAATTGAAATTTAAAGAAAAAGATGGAGAACATATTATATTGGAGTTAAGTTAAGCTGTTTAGCGCAAGTCTAGTAGCTTCTGTCCGTGGAAAGATGGAGGACTCGCGACCCGAAGGAGCACGCACTTACGCGCGTCGTAAACGCAGCGGAGAGGACACTGTGTCCGATGGAAGGGCAGCAACGACCTCGGCCAGAAGGTCTCCGAGCGAAGAAAAAAGGGAAGCGAGCATTACTCCTGTCTCTTATAATATAACCGTGTCCGTTTCTCGTCTTCTTCCCCGGAGTCTCATCTCGAGTCGTGATCGGGGTAATGAGGCTCCGGCAGTGGCAGCGGGCCCGAGTACCCGATGAGTTGATGCGAGGGAAGAAGAAAGATGGCGATTCTTCTTCGCCGTACCGTCGGTCCAAGCGAAATGGAGAGACGTCGCGGGATAGAGGGGACAGGGGAGACAAAGATGCTGACGTGGTAGGGGTAAGGACGCTGATTATGGGGTGTCAAACAATCACACTGATTGTATATTCTCCGCTGAGTCCTTCTGTCTGCCTCAACGTCTACTTGCGTACACCGAAACCGGCGGATTTGTCTTGTTTCCTCGCTGCTTTCGACGCTGGACGATGGAGTCGGTTTCGAAACGACTGCGCGGAACGTCGGATTTGCGATCTACCTGGCTGAACAATGTTGCAAAGACATCGTAAATGAGGCTGTGATGCACCACCAGCAGTTGGAACTTTTAGATTATCGAAGATTGACAGAGGAATTTGGGCATCAATTTTTTTCTGAAAACCCTAGATCTACTAGTATCAATCAATCTGGACGGAGGAGTTTCGAAAGGATTACGAGGAACAA